ATTGAAAATTGGGGCGTTACATGAACAGATCAAGATGGCAAGCACAATATGTAACAATTAATTTACAGTATTGTAGTGTAATAATGAGAGGAAAATTTTGCATTGGAATTGCGTAAAAATCTGTACTCACTGGTCAACTTGAATGAAACTCAACTAAAAAATAATAATAATAATAATAAAGAATAAACAATAGCTTGCAATTTTTGAAGACGTTCTTTCTTCTCTAATTTTTCCATGTCATAAAACTAAGATAATATATCACTTTTTGGGATCCTTATAATTTTTGAAGACGTTCTTTCTTCTCTAATTTATCCATGTCATAAAACTAATATAATATTTCACTTTTTGGTATCCTTAAGTTGGTCAAGAGGCTAGCTGTTAGAAACTGTAGAGTTGACATTTTCAGTGGGAATATAAATTACAGGGTATTATTGTTTTAGTAGTGGATTGGTTTAATCCAGTTTTATCTAAAATGAAATCAAATCAGTCAAAATTCTGTTTTAATTGGCTTAATCTACCGCTCAGGTGGTTCTCAAGGGAAAACATCTTTCCGCTAAACTATATATGAAGATGCTGTTGTGAGACATCTGCTCATCTTGGAGGAACAGAATTATTGTGAGTGGAGGTGAAGAATCATGGGTTAGCTATATCTCAGATGTCCACATACTTGATGCAGATACTCGTGTGGTGCAAGTTTGAATGCCATGGGGCACATGTGCCTCCTCAAGGTGGGCGTACACCAATTTCTTTCTGCAAGAACTTATTTGTCTGCGGGGATTTCTCCGATGAGAAGAACCTCTATGACTGAAATGGCATATGGACCAAAGTGATAGCTTCTGGTAGACTTTCCTCGGCAGGTGAAAGTTTGGATGGCAGGTGGGAATTTTTCCTGTATTTATAGGCAGTTGCAATAAGAATCTTGAAATGCAGGATGAAATGGCAAGAAGAACTAGATGAACGGCAGATGGAGAAGTTACCTTTGAGGAAGCAGCTGATCAAGTTGAAATGCCAATTACAGAACATTGGTGCTTTTGCATATGAGCTGACGTACATGAGAGTTGAACATGATGCCACCATTCACCATCCAATGCCAATTTCAAGTTATATGTCATCAGGCAGGCAGAATTTCTATTTAAGTGGACAAACCATTAATCTCCAAGAATACAGTTGACTATAATTCTAATGGGAAAATGGAAACCAAAATTGAATGACAGAACTAAGCACAATGACAATCACTGCACAACTTAAGAAAGCGCCATGCATGCGGAGCATTACATAAACGAAGTCATGCAAGCAGATGATACTGGCGACAAGAAATGAGTACCTAAAATCCAGATGGAAGCTGCTTATGCTGAAATGAAGAATCCAGCACCTGTTGAAACTTCACCGTCTGAAGAGGTTGTTGGAATCTCAGATCCCTCCATGGTACCTGATATTGAAGCGGAAAGTCATGGCAGAAATTACGCTTCATTCTCAATGCTGAAATCCTCCCAGAAAACAGTCATTCATAAACTGAGATTCATGACACCGCTTTTTTAAACTAAGGTGGAGAAAGGTGAGAAAACTTATCTTCAGATTAAAATTCTTATGGCAGCAGGAAGCAAAAGTTTTGCAGACTAAATGACACGTAATTGCATATAGGTTGAATCACAAACAATACAAGACTCTTCCGAATTAATTTGTAAATGTTTATTGGTAGATTGTATAGTCCATCATAAAATCAAGTCTCATGCTGCAATCACAACTTGGGAAAAGTTTATTATCTTCTAGTTAAATACATAATGAGATTTTTTTGTTTCTCTTCACGTTTAACTGTACACATTAACTTCCATATCGTATCAAGAATAACTTTTTTTTTCTTAATCTTCTTTTTTCTAAAGTAAACACACAGTAGTATCCTGAGATAATTACTCTGTGACCTCTAAATATTGTTCTCTGACAATAACATTTCTTAGTTATTCGTAAAGCATTACACATCCTACATGCTTTTACGTATTAAATAAAATTATAAAAATCATAGTTTTAGTTTAGGTTTACTTTTGGTTATTATAGCGTAATACTACAGCTAAATCTCAATTTTCATTTAAGTTGATAAACCAAAACCATGCAAAGCCCTTCTTAAGAAGGTTGGATCTCAGATCAAAGAGTAAAGGTCTCCATGAGTATCGAAGTTTCAACTTTGCTCGACTTAATACTGTTAGATGAGATCGGAGTTTGATCTAGTAGAAGTGTGTTTATTATGTTGATAATTTGTTGTTCAAAACCAAAAGGGAAGTGTGTGGAATGAAATGGAAGAACAACCGGGGAAGGCCGAGGTTGGCCCATGCGACCGCATGGACCATTTGGCCATGCGGTCTCATGGCCATGATCAGGGACCAACGTCCCTGATTTCGGCTACTCCATGCTACCGCATGGAGTTGTTCCTTGCGGTCGCATGGGGATAAAAAACTAGCCGTTAGGCAGTTTTTAATTTTAGTTTTTTGGCGGTTTTTCACTTGTTTTGGCACCACTTCGTGAAGCTATGTTTCATGGCTATATATACAAGTGTGATGATCATAGAAAAAATGTTGAAATCATTTGTAATGAGAAGTGATTATTATATTCATTCCACAAAAGAAAGAAACTATTCTTTTTCCTTCCATATTCATTTCTTCCTCCTCGTGTTCTCAAGTTTGGGTAGAAAAATACTTGGTGCTTTAGTATTTTCTACAACAAGGCTTGATTAATCCTATAAACCATTTTTCCGGAAAACCCTTAAGCATCTTATACAAATCGGAGATGGGGCAAATATCGTTTGAGGACAACGATCTTCGTGTTTGGGCGTTTGATTCTTCTATGGAGTTGTTCATCATTTATTTCTTGATTTCATGGAAGCAATGTCGTTTGATGCTATTGATTCTTTGTTCATTGGCTTCTCCAATCCCACGATATGAAGAAATGATGAGATAAGTTTATCATATTCTTTTGTTTGTTTCCATTGTTGTATTTTATTGGTCTTGATTTCATTCATCACGTTGTTGTTTTTAATCTTGGTTTCTTCTGTATTCCTCTCTTAGGGAAAATATTCCCAACATATTATATATAAAGAAAAGGAGATACACATTAAGTAACCATTAACTTATTATAAACGTGTTATATGGTAAGAGTATGGTGTCCATTAAAGTCTCATTAAAATTTGCACATCAAGATAAATTTGGGTTATATGTAGGTGGTATTATCCCTTGAAATGTGGCCCGTTTCTAGTTTACAAATGTAAGTGATTGTTCAATTTACAAAATATGAATTCTATCCACTAAAACATAGTCAAGTCATCACCACGGTCGCTTACCTTGTACTTTCTCATCTTGTCTAGCTCACGTATTTGATCCCATGATTGTACTTAATAAATATGACCTTGAGACTATAATTAGCCATTAAACAAATATTTATTTTAATATCAAACTATATTAAGCCTTTATTTGGTTTTACAGAAGACAAAAAAAATAGTAAATTTTGATAAAAATTGATGAAATATGTTGTTGAAAAGTTAATAAAAATTGTGAATCCTATGAAATGTGTGATTATAATTAATTGTTGATTTCGACTTATATTTTTATTTGTGGCACTTGCCATTTCCTCATGTGGGGAATAAGGTGAGTAAGTAACTTGTCTCTCTAGCTACTTTAATCCCACGGGTTGTAACATGATTGATTGTATATAGTGATCTCCATGATACCGTAGCTCGCGATGATTTACTTTAATACGCAGTTTTTGGTGGTAAAAAAGAAAGAAGGGAGGGGAGGTGCCGGGGGGCAGAACTTCTTAATAGATTATAAGATTGGGTCTAAATCAAATTAACTATAACGTAAACAGTAACCCAAAATCACACCTTTCAAACTAAATGAAGTTGTCAATCTTTAATTCATCTTGGAATTACCCAAAATTCATTTTGATTTGATATTGTCTTAAATAAATGAATCTTAGAATCTATTTAATCGAACTTGCTTTAGTTATTATAATTAATTAATACTTGATAAAAATTGAATTAGCCTTTAACTTGCACTTGAAGCTTATTAGTAGATGATTTTTTTCCTTAAGTTACAAGTAAAAATATTGTTAAAAGCATGAATTTATTTTTAATTTAAAAAAGAGAAAAATAAAAGAGAAAAGGGAAAATGGTTAAAAGAGTTACTACAAAAGAGTAAGTCTATGTAGTCCAACTAGACTAGTCATGTGGCACTATGATGTAGGTATAATAAAGGATAATGCTATGTGTATATCTTGTGGTGTATACAATTTTTTACATCCCCTCACATGAAGGGGAGCCCACAAATATTTTATTGTGTGTGAGCCCCCATCCACGTGAGAGGGGTGTAAAAGATTGTGTACACATAGCACAATCCTATAATAAAATGTGGTCCAGTTGTACCATTTTTAATTGAAATTATCATTTAATGCTATGTAATGCCATACAGGTTGGAACCAGCTCGATTACATCACATTTTTCTACTACATTTAAGAACAGTCAAACATAAGAATCCCAAAGTGTAATAAAAGGGGCTGTAGTGGAAGGAAGATGCACAATTAGGGTTAGGGTTTTAAATTCAAAACCAAGAACAAATCAGATTTACAATTCAGTTTGTCCGAATGACCCAAGAATTTTTTAGGCTTGGCAATTTACTAATTGCAGAAGGGAAGTTCTGTTTTGATACAATTGATCAGGTTCTGCATTCGGAAAGTATAATGAAAAATGGTGGTGTAGAGAGTGATATAGCTTTAATTATAATCTCTGCTATTGGTATGAGAGGATTAGGAAATACTTCTCCTTTTTCGAAGGTACATGTCTTGCATACCAGTTTGAACTAATTGTTCCATTTTTTGTATTAGCATGATTATTTCAGTGAATTGTTTCTGTTTCTATCCAATATTATTTGGTGATTATCTCAAAAATATACTCAGGATGTAAACCTTATAGAGTGGCAAGAAGATTCTGCACAAATTCGCTGGGTAAGGCTCATAACCTATAAATTTTTGTGATTTTCATTTCTAGTTGGTACATGCAAATCATATCTTCACCACTATATGCCTGAACCCTTGCTTTCTATTGTCCTTTCTTCTTTTATACTTGGTTGTCCATTTAGGAATAGTTATGCCCTCCAATTTAATAAGAAGCTTGTTTTGGAAAATTATTGCATTGGAATCACGTAAAAATCTATCCTCATGGGTCAACTTGAATGCAACTCCAATTATGTAAAATAAAGAAAAAACAATAGCTTGCAATTTCTGAAGATGTTCTTTCTTCTCTAATTTTTCCATTTTATAGAATTAATTAAACATATCACTTATTGGGATCCTTAAGTTCATAAGAGGTTCGCTGTTAGAAATTTACGAGTTGACATTTTCCGGTGGGAATAGGGTATTACCGTTTTAGTAGTGGATTGGTTCAATCCAATTTTACAAGAATCAATCAAAATTCTGTTTCGTATTTGACTTAATCTACAGCTCAATCATATTTATATCTCTTTTCCTTTTTTTTTCTTTTTTCCCCGATTAAGACTTAATGAGTTGTTGACTCATGCTTTCTGTATACTCCATCTTCTTTCTTGCATTGGTTACTAGTTTTGCAAACTATAAACAATTTGAGGCACAAAGTTCACCACTAATAGATTCGACTTTCTCATGCCTCATTTCTCCTTGAGTAACCGGAAGACAGCATGCACCTGCCAATAAAGGGAGTGCTGATCTACGAACTCTTTGAAGGACTTCAAATATTCTTGTGAATAGGTTTAGAAACAAATGAAAAAAAAAGGAATATAAACTAAAGAGAACAGCCCCTTTCCAATATTTTGTGTGAAGTGACATTTTGAAAACCCGATTGAGTTTCTGTTATTAATGCAGTTTAGCTCAAGTGCATTCAACAGGAAGGAGGTCCTGGAGTGGAAATAGCTCTATGGGAAGGGGTTTTTCAAGGGAAAACATCTTCCAGCTTAACTATACACAAAGATGCGCTCCATGACAGTCATACCTGCTCATCTTGGAGGTACAGAATTATTGCGAGTGGAGGTGAAGATTCATTTGATTGCCATCTTTCAGATGTCCACATATTTGATGATATTCTCGTGTGGTGTGCAAGGTTGAATGCCTTGGGGCACATGTACCGCCTTGAGGTGGGTGTACACCAATTTCTTTCTGCTAGAGCTTATTTCACTTTGATGGTTTCTCTGATGAACATAACCTCTATCATGATGTTTATATGTAGATCTTGAAAATGGTATATGGACCAAAGTGATAGCTACTGGTGGACATTCCTCAGCAGGTGAAAGTTTGGATCGGCAGCTGGGAGGTGTTCTTTTATTTATATGTGGTTGCAATAAGAATCTTGAAATGCTGAATGGCATGCCTAGATGAACGAGATGAATGGCAGATGAAGAAATTATCTTTGAGAAAGTAGCTGAAGTTGAAACGCCAAGTACAGAACATTGGTGCTTTTGCTTATGAACTAACTTACATGACAGTTGAACATGATGCCACCATTCACCATCCAAGGACAATTTCAAGTTATATGCCATCAGGCGGACAGAATTTCTATTTAAATGAACAAACCATTGATCTCCAAGAATACAGCTGACTATAATTCCAATGGGAAAATGGAAACCACAATAGATTGACAGAAATGAAGAATCCAGCACTAGTTGATTCTTCGCAATCCGAAGAGGTTGTTGGAGTCTCAGATCACTTCCTTGGTACCTGATATTGATGTGGGAAGTCATGGTACAAATTATGCTTCATTCTCCAATGCTGAAACCCTCCAAGAAAACAGCCATTCTGAAACTGAGATTCATGACACCTCTTTTTAAACTAAGGTGGAGAAAGGTATGAAAACTTAGCTTCAGATTAAAATTCATCCGGCAGCAGGAAGCAAAAGTTTTGCAGCCAGAAAAAGTGACATCATTTTTACTCAAATTCATTTTAGGAGACCGCAAAGTAGAATGCCACGTAATTGTATATAACTTGAATCAAGAACAATACGAGACTCCATGCAAAGTAGTTTCTGGATGTTTATTTGTAGATTATACATCCCTCAGCCAAGAATTTTGGTACAGTTGTTGCCTCAGATAAAACCACGCCTCACACTGTAATCACAACTCGAAAAAGTTTATTATCTTTTTGTTAAATACATATGATTTTTTTTTCTTTTTTGTTTCTTTCCACATTTAACTGTACACATTTTGATAGGCATTAAATTTTCATATCGCATCAAGAATAAATTTTTTTCTTAAATCTTCTTTTTTCTAAAGCAAGCACCTTTGTGACCACCAAATATTGTACTCTGACAATAACATTGCATAGTTATTTAAAGAGAATTTCACAGCTTATACACTTTTACATACTGAAATAAATCACATAAATCAGAGTTTGAGTTTAGGTTGACTTTGGTTATTATCGAGTAATGATAAAGCAAAATCTCTGCTCATTTAAGTTGAAAAACCAAAACCATGCCAAGAAATTAGGTCTCCATGAGCATCAAAGTTTTAACTTTGCTCGACTTAATTATATGGTTAGATGAGATCGGAGTTTGACCTAATAGAAGTGTTCAATACGTAGAGAAAAGGAGATATCTATTAAGTAACCTAATTTATTAGAAACGTGTTAGATGGAAAGAACACGGTGCCCACTAAAGTCTCATAAAAATTTTGACGTCTAGACAAATTAAGGTTATATGTCGGTGGTAGTGATAAGTTGAAAAGTGGCCCATTTCTCCTTTACAAATGTCAAATGATGGTTCAATTCACAAAAGAAGAATTCTGTCCAATATAACATAGTCAAGTCATCGCTATGGATTTCTTAACACGTACTTTCTCATCTCGTATAGTTCACTTATTTCGTCCCATTATTGTACATAATAAATATCACTTTGAGACAATAATTAACCATCAAATAAACATATAATTTAATATCGAAATTAAGCCCCTATTTGGTTTTGTTAAAAAAATAGAATTTTAGTAAATTTTGTTCAAATTTGATGAAATGTGCGACTTTGGCTTAAATTTTTTATCAACTTTTTAATCTAAACAGGTATTAACACATATCAAACTAAGGTTGTGGCACTTGTCATTTTATTCCTCGTGTGTGAATAAGGTGGCTAACCAACTCGTCTCTCTTGCTACTTTAATCCAAGAGTTTGTAACTGGATTCATTGTATTATGATCTCCATTGTATTTGTAGCTTGCGATATTTCACTTTAATAGAATGTAGTTTATTGTTGTTAAAATAAAAAAAAATAAAAATAATAAATAAAAGGGAGGGAGGGAGGGGAAGAAAAATTTCTTAATAGATTATATGATTGAGGCTAAATTGAGTTAACTACAAAGTAAACTATAGATTATTCGATTTGATATTGGCTTAATTAAGTCAATCTGACAATCTGATTAATTGAACTTGCTTTAGTTATCATAACTAATTAATAACAGATATACATAGAATTAACCTTTTCGCACTTGAAAAATTTTAAAAGCAAAATTTTATTTTTAAAGTAAAAAATAAATAAATACTGAAAGGAGAGCAAGGGACAAAGGTTTAGAATTTAGTAACCGAAAGAGTTACTACAAAGAATAATGTAATGTAGTCCAACTGCATTAGTCATGTGACACTACAAATTAATTGTGGTCCAACTGTATGATATATAATTAAATTGATCAATTAATGTTATGTAGTGGTATATAGGCCAGCACCAATTGGGTTACATAGCATTATTTTACTTCACATTCATACATCAGAATCGAATCCTATAATAAGAGGGGCTCTTGGGGAAGGAAGATGCAGAATTAGGTTTAGGGTTTCAACTTCAAAACCTATAAGAAATCAGATTTACAGTTCAGTTTGTCCAAATGAAGCACGAATTCTTTAGGCTTGGCAATTTACTAATTGAAAAAGGGAAATTTTGTTTCGATGCAATTGATCAGGTGCTGCATTTGGAAAGTGTAATGAAAAATGGAGGTGCCGAAAATGATATAGCAGGAAGAATAACTGTTGTTGGTATGAGAGGTTAAGGAAATGTTTCTCCTTTTTTGAAGGTACATGTCTTGTATATCAATTTATTCAAATTGTTCCATTTTCTTTGAATTGGCATGATTAGTTTTGGCAAATTCTTTCTGTTTCTATGAAATATTATTTGGTGATGCTCTCAAATATTTGCTTAGGACCTTATTGAGTGGCAAGAAGATTCATAAGATTTAGAACCTGTAAGTTTGGTAATTTTCATCTACAGTGTTGAATGCCTGAATCCTTACTTTTTGTTGTCCTTTCTTCTTTTATACTAGGTAGTCAATGTAGGAATAATTATGCAATCGTTATATATTTATAACTGATGCACAGACCATACTTGGGTTATTTTTTAGGAAAACATTTGGAAACATAGAAATAAGCCTTGAATTTTGATGATAGAAAACATGTACAAAGTTATGTAGTCACCACATTTTTTAGTAATGAATATTTTGAAGATTCTCAACTTGAAGATAATAGTATTTTTTATTTACTCGTTCTCTTTGTGACTTATAAATTAATTTAGAGTATTGTATTGTAATAATGGGAAGCTCTTTTGGAAAAATTTTGCGTTGGAGTCGCTGCTCACGGGTCAACTTGGATGCAACTCCAATTATGTATAATTTAGAATAAACAATCACTACAAGAAAACTGTTAAAAGACAATACTTTAAAGACAACGATTTTTGTAGAAAATGTTATTTGTAAAAAAATCACCACAGAAAACTTGATTAAATCTAGTGTGCCTTCTTCGTAATTAGTTGCTTGTTAATTCATCAATATAACATTTTGATATCTTCTTCAGTATTACTTGAAAACTGGAACCTGCAAGTTTGGACCTACATGCAAGTTTCATCAACCTAGAGACAAAGCTGGAATTGCTGGAAGAGTAGCCTTGAATGTTTTGGCGGTTATCCACTTCGCCTGGTGACGCCGGGCAAAATAGTGATTATTCTACAGACTAGTTCTACCAACAAATTCACAGGGAAGAACACAAGATTAACGGCAAAAAAATACAGAGAAAACGTCTCTGAAGTTTAGAGAATTTTAGTATATCACGTAATGATCAAAATAAGTCCACAAGCCGGACTTTATAGCCAAAATCCNAAAAATGGCAAAATTCCAAAAATCACGCCAAACGAAAATATGGAATAAAATAAGTATTCTGCAAAAAAATCTAGCCCAAATGGGGTTAAAAATCATCTCCTAACGTGCAATCGAAATATTACCAAAAATAGCAAAAAATAACTTAAAATAGCAATTCGGAAGGGAAAACAGCTGAATTTGAGGATGAAAACGGCACACATCGAGCATAGCTCGGTGGCCATGACGTGCGCGCCGAAACGAGCTTTCCGGATTGTGGTCATGATCGCGATTCTGATAACCGTAGCCAAAGTTATGGCCAAATTACCGAAACACGACTTAATTGCCAAAGTTACGCTATCACTTGCCATCCTTGCCTCGATCTGCCAACTCGTGATACCTTAGAGCCATTAACGTGTTATCTGACAACTCAGCATCTGACTCGGACCCTCCTGCATCACCTGGTTTGGACTTTCTTTGTCAGGTTTGCTAAATTTATTTCTTCAAGCTTCAAGCTGAATGGCACATTCTGATCAGTGATTGCTTTTATGCTCAATTTGCATATGCTTCCTTTTGAGCGTTCTCTAGAGCCACCTAACAGTTGGAAATTGGCTGCCGTGACTTTTATCAAGCATTCTCATTGCACTTCCTAACATTGATAATAAAAAGGCGATGTCTCTGATGAACTGTGACTGTGTTTTATCTGAAGTTGATAGGAATAGGTGCATTATGTTGTTATCACTTTTCTGTACGCTTTTATTATCAAGAGAAAGGCACCTAAATTTAAGATGTATATAGTTGTGTTAATACTTCACCCTCATACGATGCACCAAGCTTCTACAGATGGTATATCCAAATTCATGTTGATATCTTACAGATGGACTAAGATTACGACGACTATCTACTATAGTATTAACAACATTTGTCTGTTTGTCTAGATTTGGTTTGCTTTTAAAGCTCAACTTTAGATTTAAGAATTTCAAAGGTACAAAAAAAGCTCAACATGACCATTACTAGAGAAATCATCCATATAAGTAATAAAATATGAGTAGAATGCGGAGTAAAATAGAAGTAATCGATTAACTCTATACATTTGTCAAATGCGGAGTAAAAATTAAAAGTATGGATTAATACTATACATTTGTCTATTTAATAATAGTTACGCAATCATTATATATATATATATATATAGCATAGACTGTACTTGGGTTATTTTTTCGGCAACAGTAATAAACATAGAAATAGATCATGAATTTTGATGATAGCAAACAAGTAAGAAATTGT